GAATTTTTGGTTTGACTTACGAGGGAACATTCCCAAGTGTCACATCGCTTTTGAGGCGAAACCTAGTGGGTCGTAGGTAATCGAGTACGCTGATTCCGAATATCACAATGGTTTTTGCTGCTAGGCCTTCCAGACCCCGTTTTCTGGAAGACCAGGTTTTCAGGTCGAAAAAAGTTTTTGAGCGAAAAAATTATTTTAACCCCTCTATCGTGTAGAGCACATCGAGTTATGTATAAAACTATATTTTTTTCTGCTTTAAAACCTCTACAGTCATAAAAATTTTAAAAAAGGATAAATCAAGACAAACGAAGCGCTGTTGGAAAACACAGTTTTTTCAATGAATAAAGTGTTTTTAAAAAATTTCTTGGTGAGATTTGAATCTTTAACAACCAGAAGGCTCACCTAAAACTATTTTCTGATTAATCTGTACACGGACTCGAGTTGATAATCTCGTTGGACCAGGCAGTAAAAGCTTGTGTTGCGAACATTGTGACTTTTTCGTTCTAATTACAATTGTCTCCTTCAATTTCTCACACATTTGTATAACTTCAATATACTCTATCGTTCTAAATGATTATTAGGTAACTAATCTATGTAAATGCACTCTTCGTTTATTTGCAAATATACTCATCTATTATTCTATTATTAATCTAAAGTTGTACACGGTCATTATCTTTAGAATAAAGTGTTCTCTTATCATAAAGGTAAGTTCATCTATAAAGGAATTCGCTTTTTTGGTTTATTTTTTTTTCGTTTGTTTGTTTTCGTTTATTTGTTTTTGTTTATTTCTATTTTAGCAAATGAATCCTTCAAATATTGTTCAATGCCTAGCAGAGCTTGTTAACATAAAGTTGAATCTAAACACGACACAAGTGTCTCAAAAAGAACGTGAAGTAGCTGAACATTTGTCTGAAACAATAAACTCTTTCACTGACTGTAAACAGTATCGTTGTGAGGAAGAGATGACGTTAGATTTAGGTGACAAATCCGACGAATCTGACGATAATGATCTAGATACAGTATATTGTGATGAAAATACCAGTAAAGCCGATGACGAATGGGAGGATAAAGAAAACGTATTAGAACCACGTCATCTGAAAAAGTATTCTTTAGAGTTCATGAAAGAGGTTGTTGAATTTGCAGATACTACAGATGAGAATGGCAAACGTCGTCGATCATGGAACACCATTTACAATCGTTATCGCACGCTGCCTGATCGGACCTATGTTAATCGTTTTCGGAAGTACATTCAACAACATGGAACAAAGCGTCAGAAAATAGAAAACATTGATGAACTAGTTTTCAAGAAATTTTTAAATGGACGAGAACAGAGTTTACCTATTCACGATTTAGATATTCGTCGTTGGGCATTAAAAGCTGCTCATGAACATCAATTAAAAGATTTTAAAGCTTCAGATAAATGGTTGTATAATTTCAAATGTAAATATAATATTGTTTCACGTAAAATAACAAATATTATCACAAAAAGAGAGATTAGTAACTGGGATGAAATACAAAAATCTGAACAAAATTTCTTAACACAGTTCAATAAGCTATCATCAAATTATTCAGTACATGAAATTCTAAACACAGATCAAGTCGGAATTGAGAGAGAACAACATTCAACTCGCACTCTTTCATTTCAGGGCGAAAAAAAGACCTACGGCATTGTTTCATCTAAAAACGCTACATCACACTCATATACACTTCAGCCAACGATATCGTTAGCTGGTCAACTAGTTGGACCCATTTATTTATGTCTCCAAGAGAATCAAGGAAAAATGGGTGATATTGTTAAAAGTCGATTATTTGTTCCAAAAAATGTCGTTATTACATGCTCATCAAGTGGTAAACTTACATCTTCATTGGTTTCTTATTGGTTGGATAAATGTTTGTTGCCTTCGATAGGAAAAAAAAGTCTTTTATTATCCGACTCTTGGTCGGGTCAGAACGATAAGAAAATCTATGAATCTTCAAAAACAAAGGGAAAATGCGTGGAAAGAATTCAAATTCCTCAGCATACGACAGCTGATATACAGCCTCTTGATAAGTACTATAACAGACAAATGAAAAACTTCATAAAACGTCTTTATAATCATGTTTCTCTTGATGAAATTCCTATTAATTTGTATGAAAGAAACAATATTATCAAGCTCGTCAGTCTTGTTCATAATCAGTTGAGTGCACCTGTCTTTAATAAAATGATTCGTTATGCATGGTTTGCATGCGGATATACGAAAGATGATCCTTCTCCATTTGAAAATATTAACGATGTTTGCTTTCCGCACGAAACAACGCATGTCGAATGTGAAGTTCATCGTTGTCAAGACAGTGTCTTTTTAACTTGTGCACATTGTTCGAAAAAATATTGTTTTGAACATTTTTTTGTTGATTATCATTATCACGAGTGATTAGGCGGTGGTAAATAATCTATGACTTAAAGATTTCATCATCCCATACCAATCTTATCCTTTCACTTTTAGATTTATGAACTGTGAGACTCTTTGTCACGTAGTATTACAACAAGCATCGTTTCTCAAGATTGAACAGAACTTTGAGTTGAACTGTAAAAGAAACTTTCTTTTTTCTATATGATTTTTTTTTTGTTGCATTTTCATTTTGGTTCGTAAATTAATAATTGTAAATATTTGTTGGATCAATAAACGAAAGAAAAAGCAAAAATTCAATTCGTTCGGGCCTTAACGTTCGGTGTGCGAGTTCCTCAAGATTCGACACACTTTAAGTTTTGTCACGACGGACATCTATTATTTATAGCCTAAAACGATTTCCGATTGCAGTTTTGTGAATTTCTCATCGACTGGAATAGAAGCGTCATGTTTTGACTCGAGCAACTATTTTAGTCACAAGACAAATCACACATAGGAGCAAAACTTTGAAGAGTACTGAAAAGCAGTTCGCTTGTCAGGCTTTGTGTTTTTAAAATTTTTATGACTGTAGAGGTTTTAAAGCAGAAAAAAATATAGTTTTATACATAACTCGATGTGCTCTACACGATAGAGGGGTTAAAATAACTTTTTCGCTCAAAAAATTTTTTCGACCTGAAAACCTGGTTTTCCAGAAAACGGGGTCTGGAAGGCCTAGCAGCAAAAACTATTGTGATATTCGGAATCAGCGTACTCGATTACCTACGACCCACTAGGTTTCGCCTCAAAAGCGATGTGACACTTGGGAATGTTCCCTCGTGAGTGGAAATGCTGAGAGATTTGAAAAAGTAGTTGGTGATGCTGAACTCGAGGAAAATTATTTGATTGCAAAGAAGAAGAATGTTCACTCGACGAGTATTCT